GATCATTAGGAGAGCTAAAATTCCTGTCTACCAGAAGGAAGCATCTAAGTTTTAATACTTTGTTTAAAATAACATGCTGACAGGTTTTGGTCGTTGGCACTATTGAGCAGGCGCCATGAGGTGTCGGACAGTTTTCTCAACATGATCGTCATCTTAAGTAGAATGCACCGTAGGCATGATGACTTCCTTCCACTTGGGACTGGGAAAAATAAGTTCCACCCGCCTCTTCTCCTCGCCCCCTTACCTCCACTCAAGTCTCCATTGCCACCTTGAATGGGCAAGGGCAAACGTGTCAAAATCTACTTTTAGTAATGTTCAACCTAGGTGGTACGAAAATAGTTGGCCCACAACTGTTTCAATTGCAACAAGAATTTAGCATCGTATGAGTGGAAGTGGCCGTCAGATGACAACAGCTTTAGGGGGCTAAAAACAAGCTGTTTTTCCCACTTTTATGCTCCAAAAGTGTACCGTTTTGGAGTGTTTACTGGCTGATCAGTTGTTGATGGTGAAAAACGCCTTGTGTACCTCAACATTAGGTGGTGGCAACAAACATATCCCCGATTTCCTTTTACCAACAGACGCATTACTCACCACATGCGTGTAAAACAACGCGCAACCTCCACTGACTGCACTTTGAGTGTGTGTGTGTGTGTGTGTATGCACACACAAAAATGTGGGTGGTGGAATGCGAGTAAAAACCTTTCTGTGTCGAGAGACGACCCCTTTCAGCCCAAGCTTTGGCATGACTCAAAGAATTCAAAAAAAAAAATTTTACTTGAGAAGAACCTGCGTCTTGCAGGGAATGTGTTAGAGTGGCTTATTTTTTATTCCCGTAGACCAATGCACCGCACACCCTCACACTCCCACCATCCTGTGACCGCGCCATGGAGACACCCTCATACCTCATTTTGAACGGAAGGAGGGAGGAAGGGGAGAAGACTATATTCTGTTTAGTCGTCCATATGCCCCCTGTTCCCCTAATGTGCCCCTGGGACTACTGTCTGGCCTCGAGATTAGAGGAGTTTAAGAACAAAAAACGAACACAGGCATTTTTGCACTTTCCCTTCAAAGGAACACCGTGTTACAGCCCTTTTCCAAATCTGTGGTCGGTAGAACACTTCCAAGTAATGCTTTCGTTTACAGGAGAGGACATACTGAGTGTAAACCTTTTAAATGCGGCATGGGTATTTGGAATCATCATCCGCTGTGTGGTGTAGTTTGGAGCCAGTCGAAAGTATGGGGTTAGATTAATCTTTGTGCTGAGCGTAAAGCGCGAAAAATAAAACAATGATTACTCTTTTATGCAACATTATGTTTCGTGCTTAAAGTTAATTACTTTTAGTAATTAAACAGGGAGTTCATGTCAGGCCTGTGTTGTCGCTGATGCCGCAGATACCGCCAGTGTGTCAAGTACACGAGGCACTTTCGAATAACACACCTGAACTAGGTATTTTTAATCTAACCACAGGAATTATTTTACATCCCAACGGTTATTTTTATGCATTTGTGGGCAACAACATTGAAGAGTAAAATATGGTGACGCAAAATGAACATGCACTGTGGAATTGGGCGGGGAGGTCGTGAGGAATGCGCAATCTTTTAGCAACCTCTTTCCACTATTTAGGCCTCTCCCACACGTCACATGTGACAGGCGTTTCAATTCACTTAGACATGCCCGAATGGATGGAAGGTGGGTCTTTAGGAAGAAAATGGGGCAAATGACAGCCTTCCCGATGGGATTTAATGCATCCCTTGCCAAGCAAGCATCACTTAGATTGAAGCTGTTTTGAAGCGTTTACAATGCAGTAAACCACCCCTTCCCCCGGGGCATGGTTGTACTGATTTCAGTGACGACAAGTTGTCGTACAAAATCGGCTTCAAATGCCTTGACTCCCAAACACAATGTTTCACCCTTGAAAGGACATCAAAGAGTAGGTCACATGTCCAACCATAAATCAAGTCCCTCCGCTTTACCTAAGAAGGATCCGTGCCCTTTCTTCATTCGTTGCTTACGTGAACGCAGTTAATGTCAAACTTCACCTCTTCTGGCGTCATTACACGCACAGCATACATGAGTGTCGCACTAGATGTGTGCGTGGGTGTGTTCACTTTTATCACACCTTAACGAACACATTTGACATTTTCTAGTCCCTACCTCAGGCATTTCTGACCAGGCGATCCGACAGGGTCCTGTTTTTGTGGCCAGTTGGTTGAGAATTTGATGTTTGTAGCCAAGTCCCTCGCCCTCGGCCTCCCCAGCTGTCCCTGCGGCGGAGGCGTCTGATGCACTAGCGCCCCCACTGATTGACGGAACTGAGGTCTTCCGACTGGCTTCCTGCAACAAAACAGAGACGCGTGCGAAGGTCATAAAAACAGCGCCTATCTTCAGCGGTATCACTTTTTTCAGTCTCTTTGACCTTTATGTAAATGCAGACGTGGGTCCAGATGATTAATTTAAGTTTATTTAGAGGACAGAAAAGTTGCTGAGTGAAATTATTTGAGATTTTGATTTACAAAAGCAACAATTCATCATTCACCTACAGTAGTCACTTGAGTATGTATCTCAAAAGACGTTTTAGGGAGGCCTGCAAGGCTTCCTTTTCAACGTGTCGCTACCTTCCACCTAAACAGCTACACTTATTTTCGAGAGTCCATCGAAAACCAACCGATGTGTGACCAAATTACCCCACCGTTGGCATTAGGTTGCAGCCAAACTGGCCGTAAAAAGGACACAATTTTAACTATCCACCACTTTAAAAGTTTCAAATAAACCAGCTCATCACAGCCTAGGATACACATAGTGGCATCGTTTACATTCACCAGATAGATCAGGATAGCTTGAAACGGAGGTTTTTAAACCTTCTGAGCATGAAGTGCCTTGGCGAAGGAAAGTTAACAAGAAACCAAGTTGCCTAAGGATAAAACACTTTGTGTCAGAATCAACTTAGCCTTACCAGCCCATTGGGATTTGTATCTATTCGGCTAAATACATTTCAGCTCACTCAGATCTCCACATCTTTAAAGGCAATTGTTTGTTCTGAAAGTCATTTTGGGGAAGAAATTGCCATTGTTACCAGGTCTCTCAAGCGCCTCTCTACAGACTACTTATAATGACACTTAATTGGATTGGCATTACAGTTGTTTAACCTGAGGGCGTCCCCTCGAGGAGGGCGAAGGGGGGAAAACGAAGTGTCTAGCGGACTCGATTTTAGTAATATAAACACATTTTAAAATTTGTCTAAAACCAGGCCAGGATTTGCCACCTGAATGCGCACCCAACATCCAGCCCACCAATGTAGGCGTTGAACTCCCCCTAGGTTGTAATGACATCGCAACGAACACATTTCGGAGCCTTGACCTCAGAAGAAGTGTTTTACCACCAACGCCACTAATGCTCGTTTGGGCGATCGTAAAGTAATAGTCAAAATGTTGAATCAGAACACCTTCTTGCCTTCCACTGAAGCGGCGTCACAGTGCTCTCTAAAGGGTGGCACTCAGTGGACACTCAGTTGCTTTCTAAACGAACGACTCGGGGAGAGTATAGAACTGCAAACAAATCTACAGTGACTCTCCACAAATAACAACAACACAACTCCCATTATGCATACATTTCGCATAAAGCTGCTGATCTTTTTAAGCTACCTTATGTGATCGCTCCGCGAAAGACCTCCAGACCCGTGTACCGTGATGGAACTGATAAAGGCATATTCTGGTACACGAAACAGAACTGGAAAGAACCGAGCGAAATGAGGACTTTGAGTCATCACGAAGGCCAAAGTAGTCGCCATCAATTTTCTTCCAGCAAAATTCGTCTTGACATTAATGAAACTGCAATGTGCATGCCTGAATGTTGCCTTTACAGACATCTGTCGCTTAGGTATGGCAAATGCACTTTTGCTAAGACTGACGAAAAGCCACCTTCTGGGGAGACGACATTAACAGGAAACGCTAATGCATTCAATGGCGACTTGGAGACTGAGAAAATGGTTCCCTAATCCCTTTTATGCTTCAATTTTTAATAAAAAGAACAGGTAGCACCAACTCATCCTTGCAGCATGAAATGGCGAGGGTGGGTGCAATCTTCTGAATAATTGACGACAATAAAACCCCTCATCACAGGGACTGCTGCCGAATTGCTGTTGCACTCTTAAAAAAGTGATTTCAATAAAAACTTAGTGCGTTCGCAGGACTCCTACAAACTGGTTTTCCTTTCGTCTACGGCCTAAACCTACCTCGCTAGTTCCACCTCCCAGGGGTGGGGATTCTTTGCGATCACTCTCGGAGGCCTCCTCAATCACCACACCAGGGACTAAAAAAAATGGACATGCATGAGGTTGTTGGGTTGAATAACATTATTCCACTTTTAAACAGATTTCCATTGTC